CGTGCCCACTCCGGCAACACCAACAGCCGCCGCCTCTCCGACACCTCACACGGCCCCATTCTCAGGCTGGGGAGCATTCACCTGCCTCCCCAGCCTACCGACGTGGTAGAACTCCTCCCTGAGGCCCATGAAATCCCGTGTACCGGAAGTCCTCCGAAGTCCGGGCCTTGAGGGGGGGGGGGGGGGGGGGGGGGGAGTGCGCGAGACGAGGGTGGAAAACGACGGGGCGGAGGGCGCGTAAAAGGCGGTCGGCCGAAGAGACACGAGCTGGCGCCACACAGAGCGTGCTGCGCGAAGCTGGGACCGGGCAGGAACCATGGAGCCGTTCTGGCTGGTCTGGCCCATGGCGATCCCCGGAGTGGTCCACCAGCGAGGTCCTCACCAGGACCGGAGGGAACGGTTAGCCTTGGCCATACCGGCCTGGGCCATGACGATTCCGGAGTGGTTCCGCAGCGAGACTCGAGCTATGATAGCCCGGTACAGCTAGCCTACGCAGCGCTGGCGTGGGAAGGAAAATCCGCAGGCCTGGACACGGACTGCAACTGCGAGCTCTGAATTACGGGCGACAACCAGGGTCGGCGGGCCCGGAGAACCGGCTCTCGAGGACGGGCAACCGGGAAATACGGTAGACCCATTCGCTGTTTTCTCATTGTATTGTGACACTCCTTGGGAGACGAGCGAAGCACAGACCGATCGGGCGGTGATTATTATTTCAGCGAGAATCCCACAAAAAGTACCACAAGTTTCACTCCTCAAGATTTTGGTTTCTGCGCACGCGCAGTGAGCACACTTGGTGGGGGCAAAGCGGGTTTGTTTGTAAACACTGTGGTGGTGTATACGGAGAGCAAGTTCGTCTGCTTCTTCGCAGGGGTTCTGGTGACTACAAAACGCCGAGCTCTGGTTGGCTCTCATTGAAGGATAGTGAGTAGACCTCAAAGCAAGCTGCCTTGATTTTTACCACTATCCTTCAATCAGACCCAATCAGAGATCGACAGTATGACATCACCACAAACCCTGCAAAATAAGCAGGCGAACTTGCGTTCTGCTTAGAAGGCTTCTTGCCTTTTTCTAATCGGTACCCTCCAAACAAGAGCGCGGGCGTGTGTGCTTCAGTTTATATATATATATAAAAAGAACTCCTCACGAGAAGCATCTCATAACCGTAACGCCTCTACGGAGCAAAAAAAACGACAAATTCCGCGCGGCGGCGATCACTCGCCGGCGTCCCTATACGAAAATGTCCTATGGTCGTCTATAGAAAATTATATGGCAGGCTATCACCCTCTATGGCCTTCTACGGTCGTCTTTAGAAATCCGTAAATACAGCTACAGCCAGCTAAAAAAAAATCTTTGGCCCCGTGTCTAAAGGCAGGGAACCAATAAATTTTCTTTACCCGCCTATAGAACATTCTATGGCCCTGAGTCTAAAGACCCCCAAAAAGAAAAATAGATTACACTGGCATCGAACACTGCAATCAAGCAATAGCTGGAGTGCAATCTTCAGCAAAAGTGTCCTGAATGTCATCACTGCACTCTCAACTTGATTTATGAAACTTATTAAAATTAAATATTAAATTTTAGTTAATTAGCCTAATGATCTACATTTGCTTTTTTCAGGGTGTTGAATTAAGAGATGGGGGCTATTCCAAGAGACAATTCAAATAAAGTATTAAGTACGAGTAATATTTGCTCCGCCTCTCCATGTTTATGCGACAAATGACGGCAGTCACCGGCCAAGTCGGATTCAAAAACAAGACAGCCATATATAGAGGTAGCGCGAACTTAGCGTACATAGAGAGGCGTATGGGTCCGGTGTCGGGGTGCTTTGTTGATTTTGTGTGGGGGTTGTTCTGCTTGTGTTCTGTGTGTTTTGTGTGTTCAGTGATGCATATGTATCTACCATAGCGTTCAGAAGCCGGGGGAACTTGAAAAGAACATATTTTTTTAGAGTGTGCTGGCTAAAAAGAGCCATAAGAAAACCTATACAGCCTTTTTTAGCTGGCCGTATAAATGGCTAAAGACACCGAAGGAAAAACCATAGGCAGCTATAGCATGCTGGCTATAGCGAGCCAGCCATTAGAAAAGCTTAAGAGCGCTATGGCTGGACAGTGATAGGGCCATAGACAAAGCTAAAGAAGCCTATAAAGACGACCATAAAAAATGCTAGGCAGCCATAGAAAATTCTTTAGCCAATTGGGCCAGATAGCTAAAGCCGACCATACAAAAAATTTTCTATAGCCGACCATAGGACATTTTTGTATGGGTGGAATCATAGCAGTGGCTGTTGGGCCGTGTGCGAGGCGAGAGTGTCGCCGGGCGAAGTTCGTCGTTTTTTCTCAGCATTTTCGCTTCCTGAAAACGGCCTTAACTCTAGCTCTATTGCTCCAGCTCAAGCTCTAGCAATCTATCTCCATTGCACGTCTCCGCAAGTTGTGTTTGCTACTTGTCGCAGTTAAAATCAGGTCTTAGTTAAGATGGCTGACTGCACAAATGGTTCTGCCGCACGCACCGCAAAATACCACCGGCTTTTTTCCGTATTCCAAGTTTATATACGTAGAGCTGTATATGCAGCCTGTTGCACAACCTGGCCGTGCACCCTTGCAATGCAATCTTTTGTAAAACATTAAGGCGCTCTCGGCGGTCATCTTGGATGGCTACAAAACGGTTTTCAATTTATCTAAGAAATTTATACATGCATACGCAAGAGTACTTTCGCTAACATATTACCTCTGTTCTTTTGGATTCTAGGTAAAACACTGAAAATCACGGGTTAATTAGTTAACTAGATGATAACCTAGTAAAAATTGCTGCGTTTTTTCTGGTATTTTTTCAACGTTAAAGGGGCGATGTAACCATTTCTATCCTTCGCGTACATTCCACTTAGAATGACTCCCTGACGTTTGTAACCTATAAAAAACGCGTTAGTTTTTCTTCTCGTGTAATGTTAATCGAAAAAACAAAACAAATACATAAAAAAGCAGCGTTTTTGTTTTCTTTTATTCGCAGTCAAAATAGCCGGCCACGTGATCTGGAGCCGATTATAGGCCATCAACATTTATCATAGACAAACTGGGGTTGGCAAAGCACAATACACGGGCTGAGTTCCAGGCATTCTTGGAGTTCGGAAATAGCTGAGCGGCGTTTGGCAACTTCCGGTTCCTTAGGAAATTTTGTTTCACTGTTGACAAATGACGAAAATGAGATGCAAGCCCGTGCAAGCATGATTCTGAAACCTCCATACTGTAGTTTTCCAAAGCATGCTAACACAAGCTTGCAGATCATTGTCGTCGTTTGTCAACAGCTAAACAAAATTTCCTAAATAATTATAAGTTGCCAAACGCCGACCAACTACTGCCGTCATTAAAGCAGTTGGGTGCAAGCCACTACCCGAATGCTTGTCAAGGTATTGATTATCGCGAGCCCAAATAGGGTGCTCACGCTATGGTCGGATCCAATACATGAGCCGCATTCAAATATTGTCACCGGAGGGCACTGCAACCTCCAAACTACGTAATCCAAATTTGCGTAAAAAATTATCAAAAGAAAAATCGCTTTTATTTTTCTTAGTTCGTACCACAAGAAAGAGGTTTGTCGCTCAATGACATCGCCTACCAGTAAACTTAGGTCCCACTAGTGCAAGTAAGCTCGTGTAAAGTGAAAACATTCTAACTGATAATCGTTGCCCGGAACCTTTAAAGTTAAAAGGGTGATAGTTGTAAACCGTATTTCAGTACTATAATAAAAAAAGTAGACTATTGATTCATGAACAATTTTGTTTTGAAATGTCTTTATATATATATATATATACCACTGTTTTTTTATGACGACTAAAAGTGTACAAGAGAGTACACCTTACTTCGAAGCTCAGGCCGAAACGTGGATTCCAGTCAAAGTTTAGAAGTAATCGAAAATATGATGATGATGATGATTGAACCGTACTTCATCGAATAAATCAATGTCTTACGAAATCCCCAAAATCCAAAATAAACGGCGGAGTCAGGATTCGAACTCTGGGCCTCCCAATGTCCGGTCGGGTATGCTAACCACTACAGCGCTAACCACTACACCACTCCATGTTTGCTTTTTAACGATTCCTATTTGTCTTATTAATGCAGAATAAACGAAATGTATACAATTTGAGGTGTTCTGGAAGCACACGCCGCCGTGTGGTGCGCGGTGCGACGCTTTCTGGCATATAGTACATGCTCGTTCTGCTCCAGAAATACTCAGACTCTTTGTCTCGTCATGTGTACATGTACTATTCTTGTTTGTGAGCTTAAGAAACACGTAACCATCACCATCTGCGAGAATCAAGATCCACATTTTTAATTATATCAAGGGCATTTTTCATCATCGAACGGCGGTCTCCGAAGTATAAATAATCAAAAATATGATGAGCAAGCAAACGAGTAATTGTACCACTGCCTATTTTCGCACATCTACGCCCTTTGTTTTTTACTAAAATACAAAGTAAGCGGTGTAAAAGTGTCCTCCTTTTAGGATCAATATTAGTGATTATTGAAGAGCGCGTGGGAATATTTACGGCGATGGTTATCTAATTTAAACATTACCCCATGACGCAAATCGCTTGCCCTTGAGTCCCCAAGAAAACAGGGGATAGGTTAGCAAAATTACTCTTGAATAAATATTTCTAGGCCTATTTCGATAAAAATAAAAATATTTTTGTACTTATTCTAGATTATCCCCAAGGTAAAGAAGCCCTAATCATTATTCTTATACTGCCCTACAAATTGACTAGCTCAATCATCCATTGAAGAGCGCCTCCATTTCTTTGCCTGATTGGCTTCTAGAATTTATGGCTTCTATGTGTCCGCTGGTGTAAAGTATATGCTGGGCACGTCGGCTTCTATTTTGGGTCGATGATTACTGACCGCCAGTAAATGACCACATAATCTTGAACCAGCCATATACAAAATCCTCCAAGGGAGAAACAAAAAGCAAGCGGAAACTCAACAGTATATGCGAAGAACCCAACTCACACATGTCCGTGGTGGTGGACGGAGTCGTCGTTGTGGGCCTCGGTGTGGTCGTCGTTGTTGTAGTGGTTGTCGTTGTAGTGGTTGTCGTCGTAGTGGTTGTCGTCGTAGTGGTTGTCGTCGTAGTGGTTGTGCTAGTTCGTCTTGTGGTCGGTGTCGTTCGTATTGTTTGTCTAGTAGTGGTTGGCCTCCTCGTAGTCGTAGTGGTAGTCGTCCTCCTTGGCGTAGTTGGTCTACGTGTACTCGTAGTCGTTCTTCTGGGGGTTGTACGTCTCGTAGTTGTCGTTCTTCTGGTTGTGCTAGTACTTCTTGTGGTCGGTGTCGTTCGTATTGTTTGTCTAGTAGTGGTCGGCCTCCTCGTAGTCGTTGTAGTGGCAGTCGTCCTCCTTGGCGTAGTTGTTCTACGTGTACTCGTAGTCGTTCTTCTGGAGGTTGTACGTCTCGTAGTTGTCGTTCTTCTGGGTGTGGTAGTTGTTCTTGGCAATGGGGTGGTTCTCTGAGTCCGTCTTGTCGTGGTTCGAGTCGAGATCGTCATGGTACGGGTTACAGTGGAGGTGGGACGCGGTGTCGTAAGGGGTGACCTGGATTTCTTTGTTGTCCTTGTGCCGGTGCTAGAAGACTCTGTATGAAAACACAGAATCAAATATAACTTTATCTTTCGGCAGTACAAAGACAATCTACCATGCCCTTATTGTGTTATTTAAAAGAGGGCCGGCTGCCGCATCACAGAATAGATTTGGGTAGTGCACAAATTAAGAGAGCGAAAGTGCCTTTGACTTGCTAAGAGGACACTGGTCATTGCAGTTTCTGTATTAAAGCCCCTATAAAAACTACAAAGCTATAAATCCCCTATAAAAACATCATTTTTATTCAATTTTCACTAACAAACCTACTGGTTACCTTCGTCAAAGGAATCAGTAGTTGATTTGAATTTTGAAAAAAGCTAAATAATACAATACTGAATCGTCTTTATGTTGCCCCAAAAATTAAGTCTATCGACATTTTTTATTCAATTTGACGATCGAAGTAACCACAAACCGGTTCCAAATATAACGTTCCTACTCCACCCTGCCATTGTCAAGCGGTCAGCCCGTTAGCATGAGTCAGCACGACAAGACAAATTGAGATGGAACATTTACATGACGTCGTGTAAAGTAAATTCCATAGCTCCCTGTGCCCCTTTCAAGGCCTTTTCTGAGAGCTCTTCATGGTTATTTTTTCATCAGTCTGCATACTTGCAGGCTTGAGTACCCTTAAGCTGAGACTCCAGTCAAACGTACAAGCGCGAGGTAGCTCGCACTCTTCACTTTGAGACATGCATTCCTAGCGCGAGCGCTCGTTCTTCGGAAGAACGCTTCAAAGTAGTGACCTCGAGCTCTCGTGCTTGTGGCACTGGCTTTAAGCTTTAAGGGTGAACAGAGTATATAGTTTGCGTTTAACTGTTTTTTTTTTATTTACATTTGTTTGATTGTCATACGGCGTTGCTTGCCTTTATATTAGCAGCTAAAATATTGGTTTACACAGCACCGTCTTTTTTTTTTTTTTCTTTTTACATATAAGTAGCTTTCTGTGTTTTCGGATGTTATTTTTCGTCAAATCCGGAGTGTGTTTTTTGGAATTTATTTTTTGCCAACGATTCGGAGTTCATGGGAGTTTATATTTGTTTGATTCCCAATTCTCCGAAATTCTGAGTTTAATTTCGCAGTGTTTTCTATTAAAATTAATATATAAATAACAACCGAATGTAAGCGTATGCTATATAAAAAAAAATAAAACGCGCTTGTACCGATTGAAAATTTTCAGTTGACTTTAGCGTTGGGGATATTGTCATTGTCAACACCAGTCTTTCCCACGACAAAAGTCGCACATAATTGTTGCTTCGATAAGCGTCGATACCTCAACCTCAATAAGCTCCTGGACGTAGTCGCTAGGAAGCTCGTAGTCATCCCACCCTATTCGATCAATGCAGCCCGCGGCCGTGCGACGTGGAGTGGTTAAGAATGTAATGGAAAGGTTTCAACCGCCACTCTTCTTTATTTCGTACAATTTCTATGGTCCACACCTTTCACTGTTACAAAAACATACTCCGTCCTTCCTCTAAATCACAAACAGCATGGCCCAAACTGGAAGCAAAAAAGGTTGGCCTCTGTCGTGACCCGAATGCGCAATTACCTGTTTCCCTTCATCAACCTTCACAAGACAAGCGGTATCACCCCTTTTGATAACGGTCCGAGATTGGGAAGATAATTACGGTGGAATTTTCCCGGGACCATTAAAGGGGCGGTGCAACGATATCCAATCGGAATGTTTTTTTTTCACTTTACACGAGCTTACTGGCACTAGTGGGACTCAAGAATACTCGCACGCAACGCCACTGGCCAAAAAACTCCTTTGTTGCGGTGTAATTTCAAGGACAAAACCGAGTGTTTTCATTCAACCTCTCCTTCGCAAAACCTGATGGCGTAGCTGGGCGGTAGCAGTACCGCCCAGTGACGATATTTGAATCCGGCTCATAGATTGGAGCCGAGCATGGCGTGGACACTCGACTTGGGCTTGTGATAATTGATAGCTCGAGACGCATTCGGGTAGTGTCCTGTGTCCAATCGCTGCAATGGCGACAACAGCCGAACCATAACAATGTCTGGAACTCAGCGCGTGTCCTGTGCCTTGCCAACCCCAGCGCATGCCTATGATCAACATTGGCGGCATATAATCGGCTCCAGATCACGTGGCGGCTTGTTCTGGCTGCGAGTTGAGGGGAAGAAGTCTGCTCGTTTTTCTTTATTTTTTTTCTGTGACTTCGATTTGCGTGTGGTGAAAAACGAACGGGTATTTCACAGGTCAATTACGTAAGGGATTTGTTCTAAGCGGTATTTGCGCAAAATACAAAAATCGTTGCATCACCCCTTTAAACCTGCGCTGCTCACATTGGTAAAAGAAGAAAAAGTATTTTACTTTTTTTTTTTTTTGGTGGGGAGGGGGGGGGGGGGCATTGTCACATAAAACTTGGAAGTTTATCGGATAAGTCCAAATTGACCAAAATTTTACCGGCGGGGGTTCTTCGGAGTTTTTCGGATTTATCCGAAAACGCGGAACTTTACGTATAAGTCACCGAAATATTCGTATCTCCAATGTCGCGTGCCAGGTTAACTCCTTGAACTGGTAGTGTCCTCGACTACTCGCTATTTCTCGCGTGAGGTGAAGCCGGTGAGCTAATTTGCTCCGGTGAGCAAATTAGCCCCCAACCACTTCCGGTTTTCAACTAGAACCCGGTTTTCGTTGTATTTGCGCAATTAAACACACACACTTTCTTCTGGAAATGTCCACTTATCGCTCTCTCAAACTTAAGTCACTCTTATGATAAAAGAATGGTAAGTAAAGAATTAAGGAATATGGGTGTACTGGGCGTGTGCCTGGGCTACCCAATAAAGGGCGCCACTGGGTATGTTGCCAAAGAAAGAGTACGAAAACGAAAATCACAAGCAGGGCGTAATGGCTATGCTCTGTTCACCCTTAAGCTAGGACTGCAGCCAAAGATTTAAGACCGAGCTAGCCTTCCCTCCTGGCTATGAGACGTTCACTTCTAGCTCTAGTGCTTGGGGCCTTTTCTGCGGTCTCAGCTTAAGTGCGAACTCAATGCCTTAAAACCGCATTCAATTTTTTTTTTTTTTTTAATGGCCGTTGATTTGTTTTACTTTTTTGGTTCAACCCACCAATACACATGGCTGAACTTGTAACCTAGATACTATAGAAACATGCGTTTTGCGAAGGTTTTGAATTTCCAGTTTTGGTTCGCACCGTCCTCCGAGCGAGATATCTCTGACGAAAGGACTGAAGCACTCGCGCCACGGAGGTTTGTCGTTTGCGAAGAGGAACTTTATCTCTGGATATTGCGAGAAGGTTTGATCGTGTGCAGTGATTTCTGTAAAAACTCGCCCCGTATACCCGCCTATTACCACGATGGTGTCTTGAACGCGTACCTCCGCTGGTGTGTTTACAGCGCCCCGAAGAAGTGGTCCCTCGATTTCCACTGGACGACGTCCTCAGGAGTGCCATACTGTCGCCAGCCGCGATTCTGGCTGGGTCAAAGCAGCGCTGGTGGATGTGACAGACATCCATCACCGCTGCTGTGGTCTGCCCACTGTCCCTCCAGCAGAGCCAATCACAGCTCAGTGTCGTTCTGACGTCAAAAGAAGCAGACGAAGTTGCGCCCCGCATAGGATGCTAAACGTACCATACGGAGACCCGTTCCAGGTACCGTACAGGCGCCAAAGAAATGCGAGACACGCTCTGTTTTCTAGGCCGCCTGCTCGAGCTGCAAATATGCGTGTCTTTGACGTCATGCCGTTGAAAAATCCGAAAACATTGCAATGACATATTTTGCGAAGCCGCTTTCTCAATAGATCTTTTGAATCAAAAAAGACAGTGTATCCTTCTTTAAATACCAAAGTGTGGGTATTCAGTAATTGTAGTTCGTTTGGGTAGCTAAAAAATCGACGGATTTACCTTTTTAATGTGCAGAACATTCAAATGAGCTCCTTGCGTAAAAATGTTTGTCCACTTTTTTTTTTCTTTCTGACAATAACGAAGTGCGTTTTGTTGCACAGAATTTTTGCTTTGATGCAATTTTCTACCTTAACGCCATTCTAGATCACTTTATTTTTTTGCATATCTAGCGGAATTAAGTACGGTCGTCGTTATGGCACAACAAATAGTTTGATTAATTCGAGAGGAAGGACATTGTGGCCTCCCGTGCCTACTGGTGTTCAATGCGTCTAGCATATTATTTGTAAATGTTACGACGCGGAAAGCACTAATACTGACAACGCTCAGTTTCTCCGGTGTTTATTTTTTTCTTTTCTTTATTGTATACTAGTGTTTTTTATACCTTTGAATTGAATCCTGACAAATTTAAAGCACTTTCTGCAGCTTGAATTGGGGTGCATACAGGCTCAACAGGATAGTTTTTGAACGCATGCGCAGAGGTTTTATTTGTAGATTATCAACCACCTCCTTTTTTTTTCTCTATTTGCTCAAAAATGAATTACAGAGTTTCTACTATCATGCGACAACTAAGATGCTATTTCTTTTCAATAAAACGTTATCAGTACATTTGTGTCGTAGTAAGACTTTTGCTAATCAAAGAAGTCAAATTTGACCTTCTTTGTATATTTTGCTTTTACTGATAATGTAGCACTCGATTGTGAAAGAACTGGTTTGTTATTAGCGACACAAATTTCATTTCAAAGTTGCACTCACCTGCTGTTGTAGCAGTTGTGCGTGCACTGGCTGCGGTGGGAAGGTACATGGCATCTTCGTCTCCTGAAACAAGGCATCTACTCTTTGAGAAACAATTTCAAGAGCTAACTGACGCTTTACCAGATAGCCTAACTTGGCACAAACGTGGCAAACATAGGGGTCTAACATATGGGCCTAATACGATTTTGTTCCAAGACGTTAGTTATAGCCAGAGTGTACATTTCTTTGTTGTTCTAAATGGCTCTTCACCGGCTCGCGACGTTATTTCAGAAGTGACAGACTTCAACCAAAGGCGGCACGTATGAACCAAAGAGCCAGCGGTGAAGTCTAATTCAGGCGCTTGTTTGGCACTTTAGGCCCAAATATTTCGAGATTCCAGCCAAACTATACTCGCAGTGAAACACAACCTTAGCGCTTGTTGGGCAAATTGTGGTTAAGATAACAAAAGTCTGGTCAAAGAAGTGCAATGGTGGCTATACCTTGCAAAGTTTATTCCGATTTTTAAATCCCTAAACTTCCACACAAAAACTAAGTCTTGGCCTAAATAAATGTTCTGCCTCCATGGTAAGGTTCATATTATAATTGGCTTTCTTTTAGAGTTCTTGTTGGTACCTATAAAAAAATTGATGCTTTTTGTAATTTAATTACAATACTTCTGTACCCCATGCAATAAGTCCAATATAGCTCTCGAAGAGGCTTGTGCTTCTGGTCTCTGCAAGGGACCTTGACCTCAACTTGGTTTTCCCGACAACAGAACCTATAAATGTATGGTAGGTCTCCATCTTACTAATAAAAACTACCACCAAAACAATTAGTTTGATGGAACGCGGTCATGTAATGCGCCAACCCGGACAGTACATTTTGATGCTTGGAAACATGCGTCGAGAGGTTCTTCTGCCAAGTTTATTCTATCACGGTTCTTGAACAAGAGTTTGTCAAAACTTCATCTTTTTACTTTGTTTATATACAAAACCAGCGTCTTATTTTAATTTTATTTTTCTAAATATACATAAATATCTATTTTGAGCCGCGTTAACTTTTGTTAAACGCATTCATTGTTGGCGTCCTTCGTCAGCGAATTTATTCCATACGAGAACTGCAAATTTTCTATTTCACGATACATTAAACTCATGTGAAAACCACCCGCTGAGATAATATTAGGATGCAGTTTATCACTCAAAATCTGTTGTATATTTGAAATAAACGGAAAACAATCTGTTTTTTAGCGTCCATCGGAAAATGGCACTACGAATACAAGCCTCAGTTCACTCGATCATCTGTTTTGGAGCCCGACATTCAAAATGTCAGAAGCGTTGTTCTAATTTTTTGCAGGAGCAAAATTACATTTTGAACTTTAAAAAGATAAAATGTCTTGCTAAAAATACTTTTGGTGAAGGTACAAGCTTTACATGTTGAGACGCCAATTTTTCTGATAGATTTCACAGTCAGCCACCCAAATCACTACTTCCTACATATTGAAGTATGTTGGACCCTTGAAGGGATGCTGAACCGAAATCTGGATTCCACAAAACGAGCGGAAAAAGCGTGCAACAAATTCCACGAACACCAAAACATCACTCATACAGCAATATCTCGAACGATGACCGTATTTTTTAAAAAATAAAAGGAGGTGCATTTGACAGAAATGTTTACGTCATGTTTCTCCGAGAAGGAGAGGGAACGGCCTCGCGTCTTCTCCACTTCGCCGCCTTGAAGGGGCGAAGCGAAAAGAGGAGGAAACGAGATATCTTCACGTCACGCGCCTCGTCGGCCTGGTTCAATCTGGACCTCTTTTTCCAAAAATACGGCCGTCCATTCGAGATATCGCCTTACGAGTAGTGTTGTAGGGATTGTAGCGCCCCGCTTACATCTCCTGCATTGTTTTTTTCTTGTTTGTTTTGTCTTTTTTTAAATCCAAAATTCGGTTCACCATCCCTTTAAAAGTTCCCTCTAATGAGATTCGAGCTTCTGTCCTATTTATGCTTTCACATCACTAGTGGCTAGGGCTATTCCGAGAACAAGTATTAACCACGAAAAATTAGGTCATCATATTTTATTTCGGCCAGGCAAAAACAGCCCGGTGGCGACAAATTGTATTAAAAACGCGCGACCAATGTTATCACCGGTAACAATTTTGTGAATGGCAATCGGCAAAAAGCGTCAGAAGTCTTCTTTTTTTTTAATATCCAGGCTAAATAACGTCCACATCTTCGTAAATCATCGTTATTCTTCCAAGAAAACGTTTTTAATGAGCGAAAACGATAGAAAATTCAGAAAACTATATCCCAAATGTGCAGAAACAAGAAAGGAAAACAAGACGCAAGAGCAAGAAAAAACAAACCAGCCGGCGCCACGCATGCGCAAAAGAGTTACGAGCTGATTGAGCCCTGCCCAGCTATCCTTCTCGCGGGCGCCTCGTCGTCCCATCGGGAATACGCGTCTCGGTTTAATGGGCGTGTGTGCGCGGCGCTTATTCTTGCGGTTTAAATCTACCGTGCCTCGTGTGCTGTTCTCTTCGTTCAATGTGCCGCCTCCGCATATGCGTGTTGGTGTCCACAACGTCCGCACACTCGATTCGGCGAGTTCAGTACGTGGGCGGTTCTACGCGAGAGATTCTGCGGAGGCCTAACGAGTCGGAAGCGTATTCACGCCAGTCAAAGTTCGAAACTCGATGACGGGCCAAAGGTAGAGTTCATTAGATTTTAGGACGACTTTGTGTATGAAGTATGTAGGATCATGTGCTCGTCGTATCTCGCCGGCAGCCGTTCCCGCTCGAAACAACACATGCCAAATGCAGGAAAGGTGTGCAATGAAAAGAAAGTTGAAGCCCGAATGTCTGTTTGGAGCACGCTGCAATTTTGAACACGTAAATAGCGTAATTTAGGGATCACCCGCTTCCTTCGATGTTATTGGGAAATCAACGTGACAGGCTTCTGCGAAACGCGATTCCAACGACTCCATCGAAGCCGGCCGGTGGATACTTTGACAGACGCGACGTTGGGATATATTTTTCTTTTCTTTATTCGCAGGTTGTTTTGTTACATTTGGTAAAAAAAAAAATGAATGCTTATTTACATTTGTTTCGAACCTAACACGGTGCAACTCACTGCACAAAATCGCTGTTTTGATCTCACCGCGCTGGATTTCATGACGGAGAGCGGCTAAGTGGATGTCGATCGAACATCGCTCTACGCCTGAGCGCGTTGGGTTCGCCGACGCAGAAGTATAAACAGCCCAGGTCCATCGGTAACGCAGATGGTGCTCGGAGGCTGAACTTACCACCATGCGAGGGGCTTTAGCGACGAGGCCGACGATTTACGATGATGCGTGCTCGTCCTCTGCGCGGCAACCATGAGCTATAGCCTAACCCGCAACCCCTTTGCCAGCCGCTTCGCTCCAACCCTCCAATCATTGAATTGTTTTCCGACTGTGTCACGGAGCAAAAATGGTTTGCTCCTTTTTGTAATTTTAATTCGCTTATAACTTCTTAACTAATCCGAATGGCCGAAAAAAAATGTTTTTTCCTTCGTGTGTTTACGTTGCATGAGGTCCATCGCAGCGCCAATTTCAAAACAGTTAAAAATCGTTAAAGGGTCCCTTGAAGAGTGTAAATCCACCGCACCAGAGTCTTACACGCATGGCTGCGCCCCTGCAGCACCCTCATTTTAACATAATTCACTTTTTATTTTTTTTAATCGCATACTAGGGTGGAGGTTGCATTGTACACCCTCAAATTTTGAAGCATGTAAAAGAAAACTTAGAATACAGATAAAGGGAGGCTGACACCCTTTTTTAAATGTGTTCGCCGCATTGACACTTGCTTTGGCGAAGTTGTATTAGCAAAGATCTCGAATAAAAAAATTATTTCCTCTACGAATGCTTTTTACTTTTGGACACATTCTCCGAACATAAACATATTACGCATTCCGCGCGATATTAATTGCGGACGCGGTGCACCTGTAAATGTGTCTTTGAATAGGCCATTTTCAAAATATCTGCGCCATCGGCTGTTCGTCATTGCTTGATCACGCACTCTAAGCACGTATTGGACGCGAATATTACGTCATCGTTCGGCGTGGACTTGGCTCAGCTCCCAATGGACACAAGCGTTGCGTCAGCTTTCGGCGAGGATTCGGATTCAATCACGAGCGTCATGCCCCCCCCCCCCCCCCCCTCCACCCAAAAAAAAAAATGGCGACAATAATTTTGTTTGATGGAATTTTGAAAAGGGTATATAAGGCGTCGAGCGTGATTCATTGCGTCTGTGTTGACTGTCGTTTTCTTTGTGAGAATTGTACGAGGTTAATGGTTTGTAAATTTCAGCCCGTAAAAATAATATCCCTAATATTTTGCTCAGATCGCACGCGTCTTATTTTTCGTGCATTCCCCAGTACCCTAGGGGTGTTGGAGTAACACTATTAGGACGTTAGTTATATTACAAGTTGTTTTAATATCCTTTAGGCTGTAAGTCTTAGTGTGTATGAAATTATTTTTTTTTTGTTTCTCGCTTTAGTGTTGGATTTTATTGTTTCATCTGAAATGTCACAATCCTACGTTGACTTGTCTATTATATTAACCTTTCAACGCAAGTTGCGAATAAGTGTATTTTATTCGCTTTAAAATGGCAGGGCGAGATCAAGGTTCCAGTAGTTAAACCTTTTGTATTTACTAAATGCTTTCATTAACTTAACTACAGGTATTATGTGACAATCACAGAAACAATATCTCCAGAGAAATCAGACGTGTCAACTGATCTTTAAATGTCCACGTTAACAGTCAAAAGATTTGTGTCTGGAAACTCTTAACTCACCTTTTTCAGTCGTGTGATCTTCGGTTTCTACAAAAAAAGGAGTACCCATGATCTTTATTTATACATTCCGGAATGAAATCAAAAGCCAGTCTACGTATGTATGACCTATTTCGTGTGATAATTAGTCTTTCCATATTCATTGAGAGCTTGAGAAACGCTAGGCGTGGGGAGTGCCGAGCATGTTAATATTGACACGCAGTCATTGACTGATTCATTCCCAATCATTGATTGGCTCGCAGTTACTGAATAATAATAACATGCTCGGGGCGTGGAGAGACACGAGCTTGTTATTAATGATTTGAAGTCAATGAGATAGTGGTATTAGCTGACAAGAAAGTCAAGGAACAACTAAGAAAGCAAGAAACGTAAGCATATTAGGCAACACTTTTTTCTTAAGCTGGCGATGAGTATAATGCCCGTTCACGACATGATTGTGCCAAAAATTATATGTTGGTGTGCGGTATTTGAATATTTGTCGCCAGATTTCAACGGCTGCCGAAATAATATTTGATAATAAAGAATGGTCTTGGAAAAACTGCTCTTGCAGCGCGAACGGATTTTTATTTTTACAACACGGCATTCGCGCATGCGTCATTTTACGGCCAACACCACCAGGTTGATGACGCGTCACAATATCCTTTGATATCTTAGCACCCAAAGGATTTCGTGGCACCCTTCCATGGCTCCTATTTCTGTAAAGTCGTAACCAGGACCTGTCTCGCCGTGATGGCACATGTTTTGAATCCGACTGCTTCTCATCATTTGCAAACAAGTGAGGTGATTTGTGAAAAAAAGAAGTGTTACTATGTTCTGTCGTCACTGACGGAATTATAATGACAGGGTGGTCTTTCATTTGTGCCTCCAGCACTCCATTTATTTCTTCGGTTACCCATCGGCGTCTAACGACTTCTGAATGTGCACGTGTAGTCAAAGCACGTACTACGTATGGCAACAAGCGCGTGCAGGTTGCTGCGAATTCAAATGAGACGCTCTACCCTTCTCGTCCACTCAGTGACTATAGTCACCGTATGCATGGCATGCATTGACGTCACATTCTTTCTCGCGGTGGTGACCTTACTGCTCAGCGCGTACCGCCTAGAACTTTGTCCCCGGTCCACCGAATTTGTTTCTTCCATGCAAAAACAAGTAGGAATCCCCACCAGCATGGTGTCATGACGTCAGTCCAAGCCATGAATAGTGAAATGGATAGGAGGACGTGTTGGTACATGTTTAACTTGTGGAGCGCCTAAAAAACGAGGACACGAGGAAGACGAGGCAGGACCAATAGTGCCCTAGCACCTGCTGGCGCTGCGGAACCCAGGGATCCTGGGTTCAATCCCCACCCCTGCTCGTTTCGATCTCGATGAGCATCTTACCGGCGCGCGGTCGTGTGATCACTACTGCGCGGTGCGCGTTAAGAACCCCCAGGCTAGCGGTTGCACTGCACTGGCTAAATTTCTCATCTACAGCTGGGAGACTCGTCGCCCGTTAAGGTAGACCAAGTTCGAGGCTGTATAAACATACACACACCCCAACTGTTTTTGCCCTAACACCTAACGTTATTTCCGGAGAAGCTACCATGTAGCCTGCATAAACTTCAGTGTCAATACGCCATCTGCGGACCTGCCAGTGGCATCACCTACTATGTTCTCTATTCACATGTACGTAAGCGATTCTCTTTTAGCGTTTTTTTTTTATACTGGCAAAACACCGGAGCAAGCAGACGACGTAGTCGACGAATAAACTCCGGAAGTACGACAGGGAACGTACTCTGTACGCTAAAACCAAAGTTTACCCAGTTTTTTTTTTTTTTTCGCTTTTTTTTGGTCTATTCGGTCTATTTCACTCGCAGACGAGTCGACTTCTCTAGCACCGGGTCGTCTGAATTCTGAATAAAGACCAGCATCATAAACATTCAGCACCAGCCGATGACCCAGTATGTCCTCGACAACTTCGAGTGGTTCAGCCGTTCGTGACACGAAACAACTCAGGCACACAGGTATACACAGCCTCCGCTTATGAAAAGGCATAGCGGACATAGGAGAAAATCAGACGAATGTCACCAACATGACAGGCAGCAGCGTTGCATCAGGCTCTCATGCATGAACCCTACATTGATGTAAAACACCCTTAAACTTGACTTCTTTTTTTTTTTTTTCGTTGCAGAAAGCAAAAGAAACCCGACTGAAGTAGTCACAATGAGCGCTTGTACAACCTTGCACACCGCAGACCCACACCTTTTGTATGCGAACGTCGCCAAAAGCCACATTAATTACGTTTTTCAAAAATCAAGTTTGAAATATGCACTTACGGAGAGCGACGCCGGCAAATAAGAGAAGAAGTATGATCATGATAATACAAAGGCAAAAGATGGTTCCCAGGACAAGGTTGACCGTCGAGTCCGAATAACCCTCGTCCTCCTTGCTGCAATCGAATCAAAAATAATCATTAAATGTTTTGTTACCTGTGATATGTAAAACACCTACGAGTGTGTATAACGTTACACACCCGCGAGGATTATCTTCCCTGTGTCGACTATCTATTTGAAGTACGAGTCGACAAATTTTGGTCAACGACACACTTCAGTAAAATTCTTGAAATAGCCAATTTATTGTCAAAATACTTTTTTTTCGCCAAGTGTACGCTATCATGAACGTCGCACGCGTTAGAATCCGTTCACGTTCAAACAGTGAGTAGAGACAGTGGCAGCATGGCTCTGCGTCCACAAATTCGACCTACTCGCTCGTGTTCGACTCCTCCTCTCCCTCGTGTTCTCTCCAAACACTCGCTAACAGATTGATAAGAACAGGGCGTGCATTTGGCACACCCGGGGCCAGATTCACGAAACGACCTTACGACAAAAGGGGTGCGCACGACAAAACCTAGGAGAAAATCTGTACTCAGGAAGTGAAATTATCACAAGTTTTGCGTATGTTACGATAGAATCTTACGTGAGCTTCGTCGGCGTCCTGCGCACTTTTCGCGATTGACTCCAATTGGTCGACAACGTCGCTCGCTTACGTCGTCGCGATGACCCACGGACATTTATTTTTCTACGTCCACTTTGCGCGCGTCCCAACCTCAAACATGCGAGAGAAAAGAAAAGAGTACTCGAAAAGGAACGCCGCGGAGAGGAACGCTGGAACCACAGCTGCACGGGGAAAGCTACTACTGCAGTGACCCCACCGACCGTGCGACCGCCAAGAGCTATCTAAAAGCACTAGGCCTCGCAGTGCACTCCGACTCAACGTTGCTCCGGGACCGACGTCGCTAGATAAGGCTGTCTTTCCACGACCGGCTGCCTTGCTGAATGGACTATGGCAGCGCGACCTTTGTGGATCCTTCCCGTACGAATAGTTTAAAGCCAGACCTTTATTATGGGTCTAGCATAAGTCAGTCTCTTCCCATTTTCGTCCACTTTCTTTCAGAGAAAGCGGTGGCGAAGGTTTTCGTCAAAACGGAACTTCTTCGTCGAATTATATCTCTCTCTCTCTCTCTCTCTCTCTGCGTGTATGTGTGGGTGCGTGTGCTCTTGTGTGCGTTTGCGTGTGTGTGTGTGTGTGCTATACAACTCAAATAAACGTCATGTGGATTGCCCTCGCAACATGGGTACGTACAAGTGTTTTTTTGTTGTTGTTTTTTGTAATATGTCCCATTTATTGCGACATGACGGTACGCCTACACCTGTTGAGTTAGAGGAGCGTTGGGTAACTACGCTATGCCGGTACAACCTTCATCTGTCAAGCGTCCGGTACGAATCGAGTTGTGATTGTAGCCAGCTGGGTATATATAATTTGAAAGGACGATTGCCGAACCGGTTACCAAGACGCGATCCAGCCTCGCGGTGCCAGAGCGGTTTCGTTTCCAATGTGAAACTGTGTGTACGTGGCTGTTAGTGACACTCGTTGTTGTTCAAACGTATCTTTCTGGACGTCGGCTCCTTCGAGCATCTCCGAGGTCACGAAAAACGCTTCGGTGATTTATTTTCCTGTGCACCATTTTGCAAGGCTGTGAGGGCCGTCTTCTAATAGCAACGATGATATTTCCGCTAACTTCTAGGCGATTGAGTTTACAGCAGTCGACCAAGGTGGTTATCTCCTCTTCAGCAGAGCCGAAAATAGGGCCAGTTTTAATTGACATTTCGTAGTGACGACTTCACAGCGCACGGGCACGATCCCCAAGCAAGCGTTGCCCGAAAGGCCACCTACGTTTGTTGTGGTACAAAATCCACGTTTTCCGATCACGACGAGCTCTCCGATCGGCTGTTCGTGTTGCCGAAGACACTGCCGCCACAGCAACAGCCCACTCTCGCGGTGATCGGGAGCTTGAGCGACAACGGAAGTTCACGTTTTCCCGTGCGAGAACGTCGCTCTGCTCCTCTTAGTGAAGGAAGCGATCGTGAACGACGATTTCTTCACTCATTATATGACGCCCGTAACTTACGAACCTGTAAGCTAAGTTGTCGTAGCCTAAGAACCTTTTCGTGAATCTGGCCGAGTTTTGGCTACGAGCGCGTGGATTCGAGTTGCACGAGATTCGGAAGCATTTTGGGAGGTGGGAATTTAGCTCGCGCTAGAGGTGGGAAAAGTGAAGCTCCTCTCTATCGTTCTCACCTTGTCATTTAACTATAAATTTCGAACATACCACTGTTTAATAGCGTAGCGACGGGGGGGAGGGGGAGGGGACTTTGAGTCACGGGTACCGGGGGTCCCCGTCACGGGGAGGGGTGCCACCTCTGGGAACACCCGGCACCCCTTCCTCCTTTCCGCTTTACTGGTTGGTTGCGATCTCGAGGATTGAAAGGGAGGAGAGGGAGGGGGGGGGGGCGGGTTTGCTACGATAGGCATAAAGGCCCCGGGTGCCCGATGGCCTAGCTATGCCACTGCTACTGTTACGGTCTTATCCAACTAAGGAACAACCAGGCAATTTTGACCCCAAACAAAGCTAGTTAGAAGATATGTTTAAGGAGACGTCTTACAAAACGCACGTGCACATGTAACTGGCACGCGAGCGCACTTTAATGTTCCTTTTTTTATATATTGGTTGGTTGGGCATCATTTGAAGCACACAGCTCTCGCAGAAAACAGATTGATTGAAATTCATTGCGCTGCCGGCTAATACCTCAAGGAATTGACCATTTTGAAAGTTACGGGCCATCTAGTAGCTGCAGCGCCAATTATCCGAGTCCACCAATGTTCGGGCACGTGCTCTGATTGGACACGAGAGCAATGTCAGCGTTCGGCGCCAACTCGGGTCCAATCGCGCGCGTTTTGTGCCCGAGAAATTGAGACCGCCATGTTGCCCGATGGGATTTTAAAAACGGTCTGTTCTTCGCACCGTGTTCAGGAGAGACTACGCCCAAAAAAATTGACGTTTTTCAAGATCAAAATTATGCTTACCTTGCTTGGTCACTTTCTACGATAGATGATTCTATCAAGGAATCTATAAATAAACAAAATTTAAAATTCAGAAAAAACACGACCTATATCCTTGCGAAGAAATAGTTTCCTCTTCCAGGAAGTGATTATGTTTGAAGTTTCTTTTCAGATAACATGTTAAACTAATTAGGTTACTCTCTCAAAGACTCATACTTGCAGCGCCATATGAATACAGTGTTCAACGGCAGTCGTGTGAAGCGCTACAAACTTCCTATGATATATTGCTCCGTATTTGTAATAAAATTAAATAAAGACATTTATCTCGTGTACCTTCGATTATAATTTTATACCTAAACCTATACGTTACCAAAGTCATTGATTTTCAAAATGTTTAGTTTGAATGCGCTACTAAAATCATGGAAACTGGCGCTGATTGCCGCCGCTACGAGCACACGTGATAAATTAACTAAATATTTTATATCTATAACAGACTACCCTGTCGCGTATTTTCACGGTTGTGTAATTTCTTGTCGTGGCCGGTATTTTTACATGTGCAATTACCAAATAAACAAAAGGGGTTTGTTCTTAAAAAAAAAGTCTGATACTTGGGAAGTTGAAAAAAAAACATTGTTTTATTATAGACGGTGGCCACTAGTTAAGAATCCGGTTGATGCTCTGCTTCCAGCACGAGCTCCTTTCCACGATGCGCCCCCCCCCCCCCTTTCCCCCTCCCGGACGTCATCACTTGTGGATCAACGCAGCACCGTTTAGCTTCCGTCAGCCTTGGCACCAGGCGCATCGTGCAGAGTTTCACAAGGTGCGAGACGCTAGCACGAGGCGACGCCCAGATAGACGCCTCTGCCGCTTAGCGGCGTCTCTCGTTGAACTTCAGCGCGCTTGCCGCATGAGGCGGGTCGGGCGTCCACTTACGATGACGTCTTTCACAGGTCTTGTTTTCAATGTGGTATTAACTCAACGCAGAGCATTCATAACCTGCCACCGACTATGGCAATGAATGGAAACTGGCAAGAAGTCATTTGAGCGCAGGCATTAAGCATTTCTGTTTTCTTTTTTTTTTTTCTTTTTTTTTTTTCTAAGTGTATTTAGTGAAAGTGAAACAGGAAAGAATTTCTCACAGATCGTTCGTGTATAGCTTCCAGCGCGCAAACGCTTTCGAACTTGCAGTTTAGTTGGTGACCAAAAGCACTCGTTTGAACTTACACAGGCACAAATTACGCTCCAACTTCCACAAGAAATGGCCAAGGATGGAACTCCCGAGGAGAAAAGTGAAGCGTATTTTGGTTCAAAGCCCCAGACGAAGCGGAAAGGACTTAAAAATAAACGTTTCATAAAAGTTATTTGTGGACCGTCTCTTATCAGACGTCAACATTACCGTTGACAATAAAAATAAAATTGTAATACAGTGCATTGTCTCTATAAAAAACACTAATATATTTGCAGCGGCTTCTACCCCTTTTACTCTCTCTAGCTCTTAAATTAGATTACAGTCTTTTAGTATGGAGTTATTGTTGCGTTCATTGTGGTTTATATATATATATATATATATATCAGTGTGTCGAACCGAAAGAAATACGGGTTCGGTTACGGTTCAGGTTCAGGCAAATTTATTTTGTTCCGGTTCAGTTCCGGTTCGATTAATTCGATCCGCGAACCGGTTCGCGAACCGGTTCGGGGCGCTGAACCGGTTCGGAAATTATAAATGACAAATGGCTACATCAAAATAAATTACAAATAAAACATCTGAAATCAGCACATACGAAACGGGATACATCGTAGTGTAAGGCTCAGGGATTTCTACCAGGAATGGTTTCTTTATGTGCACTCAAAGGTTACCTCACCGACGTTTACGCATTCGGACTTCATCTAATTGGGTCTGACGGAGTAGCTGTAAAATCCGCGACCTCCTTACAAACCCACTTACAAGTAGAACTCGCTAACTATCCCGCCAGCTCGGCGTGTAAGCAATTGAAGGAACAGTGGGGAGAAAATACAGCTTTCTTTATTTGAACTAGCCTTCGGTAACTCAAATTAGACCCTTAAAGAAGTTTTCATTAAACAAGATACGGAATATGAAAAACACTTCACCGAACGCAACGCGAGAAGGACGTAATAGGATATTGGGTTGCCAAAGGCATGGTAGCACTTTTTTGGACGAGGACAAAAGAAAGAAAGACAAGACAGACACGAGCGCTCGTGTCTCTCTTGTCTTTCTTTCTTTTGTCCTCGTCCAAAAAAGCGCTACCATGCCTTTGGCAACCCAAGACCAATACCAACTAGCCCAGCATACAGCATTGATAAGTAATAGGATAAATATTAAAATAGAACAGTTTTCTGTCTCACAAATATGTTAGCTTCTAAGTGCCTATACAAAACCGGATGCATTATTATCAAACTCCGCAGCCTTTTCTTTTCTCATTCCGATGGAAGCAAGCTTCAAGAACTCGCGCGTTCTAGAAACGTGTTATGAAATGAGCACACAGCAGCATTTAGGATTTACGAGATTGTAGAAAAATAAAATCCCGTGACGTGATTTTTTTTTTTTTTTTTTTTTTGCACCGTCTTCAAATTTTCTTTTTTCCGTGCAAGCCGCGATTAGCGCAATACTGGTTTCTGTGTCAAGATTCATGGATGCAGCGTTTGTCAAGATTCATGGATGCAGCGTTTATATTCCTAAGACTGAGTGGAGAAGAAAAATATGTAAGCGAGGTGTATGTCAGTTGACGGCACTTAAAAAACCAATCGCACTGATAACACATTCATTGTCAACAGCGCGTGGCCCAACCGTTTTGACATGAGCCGGTAACCGTTATTTTTTTTCCGGTTCAGTTCCGGTTCGGGTTCATCGCGATAACAATATAACGGTTCGGGTTCAGTTCCGGAAAAAATACCGGTTCGGTTCCGGTTTTCGGTTCGGTTCGGTTCCGGTTCGACACCCTGGTATATATATATATATATATATATATATATATATATATATATATATATATATATATATAAATATATATATATATATATATATATATATATATATATATATATATATATATATATATATATATATATATATATATATATATAAGCATGCCCACTCCCTCATATAACACCCCCTGCGGGTCCTCGACGAAAAAGAACGGTGATGATGATAGTCACTGACAACGTAAGAAACACAAGTCTTAAGCCGGCAATAACAGGTAGGCTAACAGATACCCTTTGAAAAGCCCGTCAAGCAACATTGGTGTTCGCCATTGCTTGGACACGAAGCGCGTGATAGGTTCCGAGTCCTGGCCGAACGCTGACGTCAGCGCTCGTGTTCAATACATGCTCAGGGTGTGTGAGCAAGCAACGGTGGACTTTTGAAAGGGGTCTGTGACACCGCAAGCAATCAAATTCCAGGATTAGTCGGTAAGACGTGGAAACACCAATAACGAAGCAAGAAGCATGCACATTGTAAGCCGCCCTAAAATCATTAAAGAGGCCCTTAAAAAAACTAGCAGCCTAATTAAAACATGCGTGTCCAAAAAAACAATTTACGTGAAAAAAAAGAATTAGCGCAATATTGTCGGTGCGAGACGCGATATAGTCGGCAGTCACCTCCTTTCCGCTTGTTTTCTCTCTCGGAATTTGGGGCACGTGGAGAAGTGGATCGGCTTCACCTTCACGACCGAGATGGTCATTCCGGTATGACCATGGACTTTGCGCACAGAATTTTCAATAACTCTCTCCGTCAATATTGCCCTAAAAAGTTTTTTTTTTTTTTTTTCGCGTGAAATTTATTTTTTGACACGCGTGTCACAACTGTTTACAACGTGTATTTATTATATTTTCAGGAGCCCTGTAAGCTGTTAGTGAAGTCATATCTTTCCACGCACGAATGACAATCTAAGTTTTTAGATCATCGTACGCTGGAGAGATGGGATCGCCCGGCAGCAGGGTGCCTTCCTGTGCGCTCTTAAATAGGGTATTGCCAGGCGTCCCTTTTCCTTTCTCACCTCCTGGCCTAGAATCGTCTCTTTACACTGCCGTTCCCGCCAAAACGTAAGCAACATTGATCTTATGTGAGCCTGGAGATTCCGGCAACGATGTGCGGCTCCGTTAAAGTCAGTGACCAGCCAAGGCGGTTCTGCGAATACGCGTGTGTTTGTCGCCTTACTTTCCCGTCTTTTTTGTATATCGGCTCGTTGAGTTTCGCCCGCCCGGCGCGCGGAGAGCATCAAAGCGAGCAAAAGCATCAAAAATATTCCGGCCATTTTTGTCTTGCTTTGTTTTCTAGATTAATAAACACTGAACCTAACACTCCTGGTGTGCGGCCCGAGTGGTCGTCTACAGCCTCGTATCACCGGCGACACGTGGTCGTTCAACGGTTGTTACCGTCGGTACAGCCAAGGCATATCGGAGATTATCGCCACGTAACAAATTGAAAGATTTAAACACCGGAGTTTACCACAGTAACGAGGTAGTTCACCCGGATGTTTTGGCCACTAATATCTAAGCGTCCCATGACGGCACCTTAGGTGGACCGCAGCCGCCTTTTTAACTAAGGCCCCTTGATGTCTTTGTATTTGTCTCACAAGTAGCGTCAAATCAGTGAAATCACAAGGCCTGTGAGTCGTGCAGCCCGTTGAAGCAAATTACGGCGCAGCATAAAAATGAGCGGCTTTTGGAAGCTATGTGGCGCAGCACTCACCTGTGGCACGTGTATCACACGGTCGCACGACGATTGTTATCAATCGGTAAACTTGAAATGCCCTGGTAATACAGGGACCGTTAATCGCAGTAAAGTGTGACTGAGGTTAGACTCCGGTTAGGGGTGCCCGGAAAGCTAGGGTATAGTTTTCAGTATTTGTTAACAATGTCCGCGGTTAAGGGACGTAACGGTTTATTGAACTCTGTACAAAACCCGCTTACAATGAATCCTTGAAGTATAGCCTCTGTTGTGAGCATTAGTGTTTCTCTTCATGCAATGCATAGCCGCAGAAGAAATTAAAGGAAGATGGACGGCGTTCATTTCCTCAACCTGCAGCCGGAATAAGCGGCCAT